GGACCGACGACATGGCGCCAGGAGGACGCTAGGAGAAAAGCTGAAAGTCGGGGGGCGTCGACGCAAAGCCGCGAATGCTGCGGCGGATGCGTCGATCGCCGAACGTGTCCCTACACACACAAGTGTGTTTCACCACAATGGTGTGTTTGGTTGAAGGGAGGAGGACGAGGTACAACCCGCACAAACCTGCAAAAATACGAGACTTGCTTCCCACTAACTGTTGCCATTCGAGCATCATCATGTACTGTGCCAGCTCACGTCGGTCCAACTGCCCGTCTCCGTCCACATCGGCCTCACGCAAGCACAGGGTCGGAATTTCTCAGAATGGCACAGATCCCGCAGATCCCTCAAGGGGGAGATCCTTGTCGAAGATTCGATCGGCTGGGTGTCTGGGACCCACAAGACGCTGCCACAAGCTGGCAGGCGCCTCTCATGACACGCAGGCTGGCCGAGGTGAGCCATGCATCAAAGCAAACAAGAGCACATCACTCGAATGTTATGCCTGATTCGTCCTTGGTAAGCTTAGAAGCAATCGGAAGTGCTCTAACTGGGTCGGAAGTGCTTTCAGAGTTGGAAGGCAACAAAACCACTCTGCAACTTGCGATTTGAAGTAAATCTGTCACGGAATTAGCAAAACACCTCTTCGTCTTTCAACCCTGACCTGCTGCCCATCCCAATCTGGACCTCAGGCTCCGAGTCCAGCACCTGAGTCTCACGACCGGGACTTCGAGCAAATCCCTCGGCTCTTCTTGGAGCTGACACGGACAAGGAGCCGCTTGGATGCGGGGGAGCTGCCACCAGGCCAAGACCTGAGGACAAAACACAGAAGAGCGACAAAAGATGGGTCGATGTTCCTACGTCCTACGTGCAGAACATGAGAGCAAAGGTTGATTCAGGAGAATCCTTGGGGTGCTCCCGCTACCAGTTTCTGAGGAGCCACTGCTACGCTGCCCACGCCGACGCCCAAGGCACCGAAGCCGACGGAGATACGTTGCGCCAAGCCCGGCAGCGGACTTGGCATGCAAAAGGACATCGGCGGAGAAGAATACTGCAGCAGTTTGGCACGAGGCAGTTCGAGACTTCATCTGCAGCTCCACATGCGCCAATGAAGTACATGGACTTCTGCAAAATGCTAACACATTCTCGTCTACACGCATCTGTGCAAGCAGTGGCTTTGTTTGATAACCTTACATAATGAAATGCCGGCTTCTTGTTGGCGACAATAGAAACACTGGCCACTTGCACGAGCCTTGGCGCGGGGCCAATTCGTGCACCACTTGTGGCGTGTGCCTGCAACTCGGAGGATGCACTAGTAGCGCTAGCAGCAGTCGCCGTGGGAGCCATTGGCAGTAGCGATAGCAATAGCAGTAGCAGTAGGAGCAGGAGTAGTAGGAGTGGTAGGACTGGTAGGAGTAGTAGGAGAAGTAGGTTTAGTAGGAGTGGTAGGAGTAGTAGGAGTGGTAGGAGCAGGAGGAGCAGTAGTACTCGCAGTAGTAGTAGTAGTCGTAGTAGTAGCAGCAGTAGTAGCAGCAGGAGGAAGAGTGTGGCATTGGCGGTGGCAGGGAGTGTGGGAGTGGGAGTGGCACTGGCAGTGGGAGTGGGTGGTACTGGCAGTGGCAGTGGCAGTGTGAGTGGAAGAGGCAGTGGCAGTGGGAGTGGCAGTGGCAGTTGCAGTGGGAGTGGCAGTAGTAGTGGTAGTAGCAGTGGTAGTGGTAGTCGTAGTGGTAGTGGTAGTGGTAGTGGTAGTGATAGTGGTAGTGGTAGTCGGAGTGGGAGTGGGAGTGGGCGTAGTAGTGGTAGTGGTGGGGGTAGTAGTAGTAGTAGTAGTAGTAGTAGTAGTCGTAGTAGTCATCGTCGTCGTCGTCGTAGTAGTAGTAGTAGTAGTGGTAGTGGTAGTGGTAGTGGTAGTGGTAGTGGTAGTGGTTGTGGTTGTGGTCGTGGTCGTGGTCGTGGTCGTGGTCGTGGTCGTGGTCGTGGTCGTGGTCGTGGTCGTGGTCGTGGTCGTGGTCGTGGTAGTGGTGGTGGTAGTAGTGGAAGTGGTAGTGGTAGTCGTCGTCGTAGTAGTAGTAGCAGTGACAGCAGCAGCAGCAGCAGCAGCAGCAGCCGCGGCGGCGGCAGCAGCAGCAGCAGTCGTCGTCGTCGTCGTCGTCGTCGTAGTAGTAGTAGTAGTAATAGTAGTAGTGGTAGTAGTCGTCGTAGTCGTAGTAGTGGTAGTCGTAGTAGTGGTAGTAGTAGTAGTAGTAGTAGTAGCAGCAGCAGGAGTAGTAGTAGAAGCAGTCGTAGTAGTAGTAGTAGTAGTAGTCGTAGTAGTA